AAATATATATATATAATATATATATATATAGATATAAATGGAGAGAAAGAGAGAGAGAGAGAGAGAGAGAGAGAGAGAGAGAGAGATGGAGAAGAAGAGAGAGAGGAGAAGAGAAGAGAGAGAGAAGAGAGAGAAAAAAAAAAGAGAGAGAAGAGAGAGATATGAGAGGAGAGAGAGAAACAAAAAAAAAAAAAAAATAAAAAAAAAAAAAAAAAAAAAAAAAAAAAAAAAAAAAAAAAAAAAAAAAAAAAAAAAAAAAAAAAAAAGAAGAGAGAGAGAGAGAGGAGAGAGAGAGAAGAGAGTGAGGAAGAGAGAGAGAGAAGAGCGAGAGACGAGAGAGAGAGAGTAGAGAAGAGAGAGAGAGAGAGAGAGAGAAAGAGAGAGAAAGATCTTCAATCGCAATGGCCAGAGCCCCCCGGGCTGAATGCGCCGCGTGGCAAGCCGGAAACGCAAGTCGAAGGGGCGGGGCTTCCGTGGCCGAGGGGGCGGTTTTAGGCCCGCCCGTCGCCGCGGCCCGCCCGCGCGCGCATGCGCGCGCAATTCCGCGGCCAACTGGTCGTTCGCCGTCTGGCGCGGCGCGCCTCTGCTGCATCTGCCCCCCCTCCTCCGCGCGCCCCCGCTTCCGCCCCCGCGCGCCCGCCCTCCGCGCGCCCGCAGACCGCGCACGCAGACCCCCCCCCCGCCCCCCCAGACTTGCGGCCCGCGCCCTGCGCCTCGCCCCCCCCCCCCCCCACCCCCCCCCCGCGCCCCCGCAAGCGACCTCGAGGCCCCCCCGCGGCGGGCGGCGCCGCCGCCGGCGAGGCGCCGTGCTTCCGCTGACGCGTCGAAACGCAGAACCCAATTCTTGGGGCTGTTGCACAGCTGATTGCAGCCCGCTGCGCCGGTCGGGGCGTGATTTCGGCGTGCTTCTGAAAGAACTCGCAGAGTTTCCTAAACTTCATGCAATGCCTCGCGCGACCGCTCGGCCCCCTGGCACAAGCTCGCAAAAGGCGGGGCAGCGCGGGGGGGTCTGCCCGGAGAACCGCCGTTACAGCCACATGGCAGCTTTTGTCAAAATTCCGAAGCTTCTCGGTGCGCTGGATGCCTTGTGGAGAGGCTCTCAATGCAAACGCACTGAGCGTCGTGTAAAGAGCGCCCGCGAACGCGGCTGATATCTGGGCGGCGATGCCGAAGTCTGCGCTGGCTGTCGCAGCCGAGACTGCGTTTCCCCTCCACCGCGCTGCGCGTCTGTCCTGCTCGACAGCGCGGGCCAGGAAATCTGCCAGGTCGTGGGCCAACTAGGCAAGCAAGCGCTGCGCCTTGCGGCGGGCTTCCTCGTCCCCCAAGCGAACTATCGCGAGGCCAAGGGGGCGCGCGGGGGCCGGGCAGGCGTCGCAGCCCGCAGGTCCCGGCGCGGCACTATAGACTCCCCCGCGCGCCCCGGGCATTGGCGGCGGCCTTCGCCCCTCCGAGATTGCGTTCTCGCGCCTTGCCCTCCCGCCCGGCGACAGAGGCGACGCCTGTTGCAGCCGGGCCGACTGGTTCTGCGCCGCTCGCCCGGGCCCCGCAGCGAGATCGGGGGCGGCCCCCGCGAGAAGGTAACTGCGTTTGCTCGAGGGCGCGGCCGCCGCGGCGTCGATGGCAGCTGCTCGATCTCGGCCGAATCCTGCCTCTGTCCGACGCCCTGGCCGAGGCCCCCCTGCGATTCCTTCGCCGCGCCCCTCGGCCCTCCTCGCCCTGGCCTTCCCTCGGGGGCGCCCGCGTAGCTGGGGCGCTCGCCTGTGCCAGAGTCCAGCGGCTGAGAGCGCGCCATGCGACTCGCTGGGCTCGCTCCGCGCGCCGCTGCCTCAGCCGCGCGCGCAGCCGCTTACTGGGGGGCGCCTGGTCCACGAGCGCGCGCCCCTCAACGGAAACGCCAGGCGCGCGAGCCTTCTCGGGGCGACGCGCCTCAGGGAAGCGGCGGAATCCCCGCTCCACATTGCCCGCGCTCGTCTTCCACATTCGATGGAGCTCCGCAAGGCGACGGCCGATGTTGATCTCGGGCCGCTCCGCCGCAGCGCGGCCCCGAGCCTGCCGCGGCGCGCCCGCCTCGGCGACGCCGCTCGGCGCGCATCAAAAATCGCCGCAGCTGGGCGAGCGGCTGCGGCCCTGGAAGGCGCGCCCCTCGTCAGATGCGGCCTCAACGGGCCTTGGCTTCCGTCGCGGGCCCCGCTGCGCCCCAACCTGTTGCAGCCGACGGGGAAGGCGGGCGACGTGGACTGCGTGCGCGCGACCGAGAATGCCCTGGCCGACGCAACTTCACGCTTCCTTCGCGCTGGCCAAATTTTCTCGCGCCCGTCGAAGAGCCGCCTCGACGGCCGCGCGGGCTCGGGGCTCCGGGGCCCAATCGCAGAAGCCCGCGGCGTGGGCGCCGGCGCCGCGCTGGCGCCGCGCGGGCAGCGCGACGTCTCCTGCAGAAACATCACGGCGACGCCCGCGCAAAGTGCAGGGAGTGCCACAAATCGCCCCCTCGCCGAACATCGCGCCCATCCTTGAGAGGAACGCGGCGGCCCTAGCTCGAACGGCAGCAGCGCCGGGCTTTCGTCTCCGGCAGCGACCCATGAGCAACGTTCCGCGCGCGAGTCGACCAGCAATTCCCCGAGAAGCAGGCGCAGACTGTTCTCGCCCCCGACCCCCTTTCCAAGAAAGATCGGGCGATGACGAGTCAATCTCGGTCGCCCCCCTTGGACTCTTCTCCGCGCGCATTGCGCGTCATGTTCCAGCGCCTACTTTCCCGCGCGAGGGGCCTCGCCCGACTGTTGAAACGCCGGGGGCGCCAGCCGATATGAACGACGAGCGCGACTTCGCCCTCCAGTTGCCCCAGCCCCGCTGCGTCGCGGAACGCGGTGGGCGCAGATAGACCCCTGGCCAGACTTGGCGGCTTTTTCTCGCTGCCAGCAGACAGTCCGTCGACGCGATTCCGCCATCTTCTGTCGCCGAATTGGTCGGAAGCAACCAGGCTGAATGCGCCTCGCCCCGCGCGCGAGAAAAAAACGCCAGCCGGACTATGGTGGCCACTGCAACCGAAGGAAAATTTAGATCCACCCCCTCGCTGCGCCGTGCCCGAATCTCCCCTCGCACATGCCTGTGCAATCTTACGCCCAGTTCCGCGCCTGCCGTCTGGCACGCGCGACGGGCGCAGTCCTCAGGCGCGGGCGCCTTGTCGTCGCCATCCATGGCCCGCGGGAATTCCCGCGCATTTCCGCCGCAGCTGGGGAGAAATTCGAAAACCTGTGGCAGAGACCACAACGCCGCGCCAATTTCGGCTTGGCCCGCGCGGTCGAGACCGCCCGCGCTCACGAGCGCCACGGGCTGCTCGAACAGAGCCATGGTGGACACCAGCCGGCGGCGCTGTAGAGAAGACTCCAAAGCTGAGCGATCGTCCCCGAGGAGCGCCCCCCGCCGCAAATCGAAACTGCGAAAAGAACTGGGTGTCTCTATAACTGCACGGGCGGCGACCACTGCGCGGTGACCAGGGCGCGGGCCGGCCGGGCGGACGACGACGGGCGCTTGCGCCACGGCTGTTGCAGCCGTTGCAGCTGTCGCGGCCGTTGCACATGCGGGGGGCGCTGAAACGGGGACGCCCTGGTGCGAGCCTTCCGCTCGAACCCGTTCTTTCCACGCCGCTTCTGCTGCCCCGTGTTCCTGGCTCTCGGCGTGGCGCAGGAGGTCTGCGCGACGGCAGAAACTCCCGACGCCTTTGCCCAAGGCGGAGCGGCGCCGAGGTCCCTTGAACTCCGCCCAGAATTAACATAATGCAAATCCGCTGGCGCTGTCAACCCAAGATTATTTCTCCAGGGTTACTGGTTTCGTCGCAGAGCAAGAGGCGTTCCACTGAAATCTCTGTTTCCAAAAACGGAAAGCGCAACGCGTCCTGACGTGCAATGGGAAGCCGTGGCTGGCGACGTGCTCCCCCACGGTCATGAAACCAAAGTCGAACTTCTGAACGACTTTGTTCGGGGAGGCCTTCGCTGTTGCAGCCGCGGCCGGCTCTGGGATGGAACCGCGGTCAACAAAACTTGAACTGCCTTGAGCAGCCGAACTGGCTCGGACGTGGCGCCCTGCGACGCGGCCGCGAACACTACGTCGGCGTTGGCGTCCGACTTTGCCTCGGTGACCGACTTCGCGTCGGCATCCGAGTTCGCCCCTGGTTCGGAGGCGCCGGTCGGGCTTGGCATCGGACTTGCCGCAAGGCTCGGCATCGGGCTCGGCGTCGGGCTCGCGGAGCCCGCTGACACGGGACTCACACTTTCTGCCGAGGTGCTCGCGGGACTCGCTGCCGATGGGTTCGAGGAACAGCTAGACATTGTCGTTGGCCCCATTAGAGGGGCCAAAGGCGCTCGAGCCGATGCGGCCTGACAGAGGAAGAAGACGATTGAGGGGGGCGGGGACAAGAAGCCAGAAGATGATGATGAGGGGCGGAAGTTCATGCTTTACGATAGCCGCCGTCATTACCATCACCATCAAATCATCACCATCGCCGTCATCACCATCATCACCACCACCCTCATCATCTTCATCCATACTTGGGCACCATAATTGGCTCACTCAGAACCGAAGCTACCGACAGCCAGCAGGTGGGGCGATCACCTCTGCGTCGGCCACGCGTCAGCCGGCAAGACGGCGGGGGGGCGGGAGGCGTGGATAGGACCCCTGTCGTGGCCTCCGGCTCGCACTCGGGGCCTCTGCTCCCCCACGCCGCGCTCAGTGGCGGGCTCCGTGCCTTGAGGGCGCATCTTGTACTTCCGTCCGTACCCGCCTGCCTTCCGCCAGCTTCCGCCGGTGGAAGTGCCCTCGTTTTGCTCCCGTTGGCTTCCGCCGGCCCTCCGCCGCCTTCAGCCGGGGAGGAGATGTCGGCTCCTGCGAACCTCAAAAGCGTCGCCCTTCCTGAAGCGCCCCATCTAGTAGTCTCTGCCTGCAGGTTCGCGTCGGACAGGGGGCAGAAGAAATCTACGCAGATCGGCGACGAGGCCAGGGAGAACGACAGGCAGGGAAAGGAGGGCACACAGTAAACAAAAGCTAGACAGTCAGGGAGTGTGGGCCACTCGAGCCAGGAAAGAGTCTGTAAGCACGCACCCTCACAATACGCAGTACGCGGCTGCATGCATTGCAAAACACGGCAGGATGGAGATGTTTTGTCGTCCCTGTCGAATATGGACGGATTGTCGCGCCCCTTGACCTGATGTCGTCCACACTAGGTCGCCCCGCCTGACCCAATCTAACGTGACACCGTGGTCGCAACCGAGTGCTGTACTCGAACGCGGCCACAACCGACCATGCCCGCTCAGATAGAGGATACGAAGGAGAACAACAGAAGGAACAAAGGAGGGCCCAGGCACTATAATCCCTCTCCTCATCCTAATCCTCATCATCCTCATCCTCGCTTTGCACTTCTCCATGCACTCCTCATATTCCTCCTCCCTGTGCTCATGTTCCTCCTCCTCCTCCTCCTCCTCGTCCTCGTCCTCCCTTTCCTCGCCCCACCCTCCTCGCCATCCAGTCTTTCCTCCGAGAATCGGGGTAAGGTGACGAATGAATAAAGGTCTCACGTTCACTCTGCTCAGCGGTAGAGGGTACGGGAAGAGACATCGTTAAGACAAACAACGGGTAAGCAAATGTACTCTAGGTATGGTAAGGGAGGAGGCCGGCCGGCCGACGCCGGCGCGCGGACGCACAGCGGCGCGCTCCTTTTTCACCCTCGAGCACAAACAGCTGCGGGATAGCACCGCAGCAATAGTCAGACAGTGCGCTGCGAGGCAAGCAGTATGATAAGCAGTATTGAGATGAGGCGGAGAGGAGCATATGTACTCCCCCCGCGGCGGGCCTCGTAGAGCCCATCCAGCCACAGCACCCCCGGCCTGTACATATACACAAACACCGGAGCCAACCGCAAAATAATTTTAGGCTCAACGGTGGCTGCCAGGGGGCTAAGGGCCGAAGAGGCCCGACGACTCCCACCATTAGATAAATAAATTCTGTACGCCGATGCGACTTTGTCGATCGGTAGAGCTGCTTTGTTCGTCCGATGCGACTTCGTCGATCGGCGAAAATTCTCTCGCATACGCCTGCAGCGACTAAGTCACGCGGGCCGGGCTCAATCCAGATCCTCGAAAGGGTTGTCCCCCGTCGGTGGTGTCGGAGGCCTCGGATGCGATGACGCCGAGCCTCCTGTTTGTCCTTCGCCGCCACGAGGCGAAAAGGACCTCCCTTTGCCACGGCCAGCGTAGTACGCTGATCTGTAGTGCTTGTCTTTGTTCTTGGACGCCTTCCCCTTCGGCGGGAAGCGAAAGTCATGTTCAGCCAGAGACAGGACATGCCGCGTCTGTGACCACCAGACGTCGTAGGACAGCCACCAGATCCGGCCCCGATGGACGTAGCATCCGCCCTGCACATCATTTATGTAGCGCGGGTAGGAGACGAACGGGTCGTAGCCAGCAGCGCCCCGGCCGACATCCATGGCACCATCGCGCGCGCGCGCTGGGGCCTCGACCAATCCCGTGCGTCTGAATACCATGAGTATTCTTCTCCTGCCGAGGCGGCTGGGCCGCTGGCAGAATATGGGGATTCGGTAACTTCGTCGCCAGCCCGAGCGTCTTGGACGTCAGTACAGCGTTCCCCCCCGCCCAGTGCAGCGCTTCGTGGCCCCATAGGGAGCTTCACCGAAGCAGATATTCACAATTACGGTACCCACAACTGCATATGGTTGGGACCTTCGCCAAGATAATGTTATCGCTTCTATTATGAATTTGCATCTTAATATTCGAGAGAGCGTGATCCACCAACGCTTTACTGTGGAAAATTCCCCCCCTTATCCTCCCGAGCCCGGGCGCCCCCCCCTCTCCGAAAATCCCCCCTGCTGTACCCCCCCCCCTTCCCTGGCAAACAACCCCCCACCCTCCCTTAACCCTCCCCCCCTCCCCCCCGGTTTTCTGGAGGGAGGATCCTTCCCTCGGTTTTCTTGGAGGGGATTGTGATCGGGTGGTTCGAAGCCCCTCGTCTCATTACTGGTCGATACCCCCCCCCCCCCCTCCAGGAAAACGGGTGGGGGTCACTACCGGCTCAACCCCCCCCCTCGACTTCACCGGAGGGGGGTCACTACAGTTCGAAACCCCCTCCTCTACCTCGAAACCGGGGGGGGTCTCAAATCCGATTCGAACCCCCCCCCGTCCTTTTCGAAACTAGAGGGGGCCACGGCCGGGTCGTACCCCTCCCCCCCCCTCATCGCTGCAAACGACTCCGGTTCCACTAAACACGCCGCACCACCATCCCCAGGCCTTAGCTGCACAGAGCTAGCCCTAAGTAGAGCCAGAGCTGCTGTTCCAGCGCCATGTCCTCACAACGCTTTCCCCCACTGGTTTCCACAACCCGAACCTTACTGTCCCCACCAGTGCCACACTGTCGCACTGTCCCCACGTCCCCACCTCTGCTCCCTCCACGGTCTCCACTCTCCCACTTTCTCCACGACCCCAACCACTGCCCGACTATCCGCACTGTCCCCACTGCCCACTGTCTCCTCCGCTGTCCCACTGAGCTGTCCCACTGTTCCCACCACTGTCCCCACTGTCCCCACCACTGTCCCCACTGTACCTCTGTCCCATTGTCCCACCGCCGTCCGGGCCACCGCCTTCACCACTGTCCCCACCACCACTGTACCCTCCACTGTCCCACTGTTTCCACCACATTCCCACTGTCCCCACCACCACGGTCCCCACCACTGTCCCCACCACTGTTCCCACCATTGTCCCCGCTGTCCCCACCAGTGCCCCCACCAGTGTGTCAATGTCCCAACTCGCCCCACCATTGTCCCACCACGGACCCACTCTCCCCATTTTCCCCACCACTGTCCCACTGTTCCCACTGTACCCACAACTGTCCCACTGTCCCCGCCGCTGTCCCACTGTGCTGTCCCAGCGTCCCCACTGTCCCCATCACTGTCCCACTGTCCCCACTGTCCCCACCACTTTCTCCACAGTGCTACTGTCCCACCACTGTCCTCACCACCGCCTTCACCAGTGTCCACACCACTACCGTCCCCACCACTGCCCCACTGTCCCCACCACTGTCCCGCTGTCCCCTCACCACTGTCCCCACCACCACCGTCCCCACCACTGTCCGCACCCCCCCCAGTTTTCGAAAGGGGGGGGGGGTCGAACCGGTATGGACCCCCCCCCCGGCTTTCGCGGGGGAGGGGAGGGGTTCGAACCGGTAGTGACCCCCCCCCCCCTTTTCATGATGGACTGGGGGGGGAAGGGGGGTTCGAACCGGTAGTGGCCCCCCCCGGTTTTCCGGAGGGGGGGGGTTCGAACCGGTAGTGACCCACCCCAGTTTTCCGCCAGCAGCGGCAGAACAAGCTCTTTCTAATATTCTCATGCGTATTATTAACCGAATGATTCGTCTTATTCGAATGATTATTATTCGTCGTTGACGTAGTACTAACCTTATTGACGCCAACATTACGAAGTGGCAAGTCTTAGCTTCACTAGTATTGGTCTCATTATCATCCTCATGTGTGTTATAAGTCGGTAAATTCGTATTGAAAGTGTGACTGTTAAAGGCGTTCATATTTTTCGTATCATTATAATGGTCGTATGCTTTTTGATATAAGCAGGTGTCAAATTCCAATTATCATTATACTTGTCCCTATGTTATTATGTTGTGATTCGCGCTGTTCCCAACCATCCTGTGGTGTTCGGTGCTCGTTTTGAAGAGACGTCGCGCCGAGATCTCCTCTCCTCTCCTCCTCCCCCTCCTCCTCCCACTCCTCCCTCCTCCTTCCTCCTCCCATTGCTCCCTGCGTTTCATCCACCCAGTACAACGCTTCGTGGCCCCATATTAGGGAGCCCCACCTATGGTCCCAGTGCAACCGTCCGCATGCGCCCCGCACACCCAGTACAGCGTTTCGTGGCCCTCCTCCCCCTCCTCCCTGCGCTTCACCCACCCAATACAGCGCTCCGTGGCCCCATAGGGAGCCCCACCGAAGGTCCCAGTGCTACCGTCCGCATGCGTCCCGCACGCCCAGTACAGCGCTTCGTGGCCCCATAGGGAGCCCCACCGAAGGTCCCAACGCTACCGTCCGCATGCGTCCCCCACACCCAGTACAACGTTTCGTGGCCCCATAGGGAGCTCCACCGAAGGTCCCAGTGCCCCCGTCCGCATGCGTCCCGCAAACCCAGTACAGCGCTTCGTGGCCCCATAGGGAGCCCCACCGAAGGTCCCAGTGCTACCGTCCGCATGCGTCCCGCACACCCAGTATAGCGTTTCGTGGCCCCATAGGGAGCTCCACCGAAGGTCCCAGTGCTACCGTCCGCATGCGTCCCGCACACCCAGTACAGCGTTTCGTGGCCCTCCTCCCCCTCCTCCTTGCGTTGCACCCACCGAGTACAGCGCTTCGTGGCCCCATAGGGAGCCCCACCGAAGGTCCCAGTGCTACCGTCCGCATGCGCCCCGCACGCCCAGTACAGCGTTTCGTGGCCCCATAGGGAGCCCCACCGAAAGGCCCAGCGCTACCGTCCGCATGCGTCCCGCACACCCAGCACAGCGCTCCGTGGCCCCACAGGGAGCTCCACCGAAGGCCCCAGTGCCCCCGTCCGCATGCGTCCCGGAAGCCCAATTTGGCATTTTCATCCACCCAGTGCGATGTTTCGTGGCCCCATACGGGGCTCCACCCAAAGCCCCAGTGCCACCGTCCGCATGCGTGCCGGAAGCCCAATTTGGCATCTTCACCCGCGCAGTGCAGCGCTTCGTGGCCCCATAAGGGGGCTCCACCGAAGCCTCCAGTGCCCCCGTCCGCATGCGTCCCGGAAGCCCAATTTGGCATCTTCACTCACTCAGTAGAGCGCTTCGTGGCCCCATAGGGAGCTCCACCGAAGCCCACAGTGGGACCGTCCGCATGCGTCCCGGAAACCCAATTCGGCACACCACCCGCACAGTACAGCGTTCCCCCCCGCCCAGTGCAGCGCTTCGTGGCCCCATAGGGAGCTTC